TTTGCACTGAAGTCTTATATGATACCAGTTATTAATATTTCTCTATATATATGTAATATTATACTTGGCATAGATGTCCTGAGCTCTTATTCGAGATAGTATGATTTAAGATTACAGATACACAAATCCAGCTGATCGTTAAGAGACAGTTTGCTGTAATACAGGTTAATTTCCAAATTTCGTCATAGGTGGTATTTGAACCTTAAACTTGCCACTTGGAGGATGACAACCCAACCACTATACAAAGATCACCATCCTTGCTTTTTTGTTTGTATTTTGATGAGTTTTGGTTTGTTTATAATAAAATATATATCAAAATAATCAGAACAAGATGCTTAATATTTTTCTACTAAGGAGTAGAATATATTATCTTAGTAAAATATGTAATAAATGAACAAAAATCAAGATTTTGGCTTTTGATATTTTTCTCAATAGCTAAGTATTGTTGGAACCCAAAACTTAGCTACTTAAGAGAAGAAAAATAAGCTTAACAACTTTACTTAAGAGTATAAGTAAGGTTTACTTAGTAAGAATTGAAACATAATTAAATATTTTTAGCAGAATTTTGGTACAAATAATCTATAAAGAGAGTTACTGAATTTTTTTTTTTTTTTTAACTTTGGCAGTCTTGTCGTAAACCTTTATTAAGATTCTTGTATATAAATTACATACATTTTTAACTTATGATTTTGGTCTAACATTCTCCAACTACTTCTTTGAGTGCTTAGAAGTGGTTTGCCATACCAGTTGGGATTGTATCAGATCTGGAGGCTATACCAAACTAGCCAGAAAGGCCATATGTAAATGGCTTCTTTTTACTATTTATAAATTTTGTAATTGAGCCAAACCATGTTTTCTGTATTTTTTTGTTTTACAATTTTTTTTTTTCTTCTATCACTTGGCTTCTTTCTAATTTAATAGACTCATTAACTTTCTCAGTTGGCTTTTTCCTTATAGTTCTTTTCCCTTACTTAACTTTTTTTCCAATTCCTATTTTTTTTTTCTATTAAGTAAAAACTTTATATTACTTTTTCCATATATCTTCATAAAAGCAATTCTATAATGTATTGATTGCTATTATAATAAATTCTTTTGTTTCTTTAAAGGATCAAGTAGGGCGAAAAGAAGGGTTCTGGGACACTTTTTTGGTACCCTAGGTACCAAAGTAGTCATCTTATCTTTTTTATGGCTTTGTAAACCTATATTCTATAACAACTCTTTAGTATCTATATAAAAACCTGGGTATTAAAAATTATATAGCTAGAACTCACTATTTTTAAATTTTATAATCAAATCAAATGATGACAAAAAATTAATCTCATCGTCACACCTGATATTATATACTATTCATTCATATAAAAATCGAAGTACCAAAAATTAAGTATCTATTTTTTTTTTATAATACTTTTGATAATGTTTACTAACATAATAGCTTCTAATATAGTTAGGACATTTACCGCTTTTAGATCGAGTAGGTTTACCACAATCAGTACAAGGAAAGCGTTTGATTGCATTTTTATGAAACCAGCACCCTTTAGGATTCATACACGATCAACCGCATGTCTCTCCAGTATATAAAAGAAAATCACATATATATTCGCCTAATTGCATTTTTTTATATATGCTTAGTACATATTAATTTTCAAATTGAACAAAAATATTTTATAAGTAATGGATAAGGAATTACGTACCAGCACGCATATACAATGAGTAATCAAACTCAAGATACAAAAGATAACCAAACAAAGCCCACATATCAAGAAGTTGAGCAAGCTTTAATTAATGTAGTTAAAGCAGGGCTTTATTATAGAAAACCAAAAGATGGCAAGTTTATGCAAAAC